ATCCAACAACTCAACATGAATACTCATCTCAATTTAATTCCTCAACAAGTAGGCATATATCTCTATACAATTTCTCAATAACATACATATAACATGCATACATCATTTCTACTAAATCTCTACTCAAAAGAATTCTCAAATCTCAACTTGGGTTGGGATTTACTTACCTCATACTTGAGTAGTCTCCACTAAAGCTCTCTACTCTTGTTGGACCTTAGCTTTCCCTTATTTCCTAAGCATAAACTTAGTAAGATCTTAACCCTTATATAAATAAAACTCATATCTAGAGTAGAGATTTTTACCTCTTCTTGCTTAGGATCACTTCTTTGTCAAATTCCAACTCAAAACTCTCAAAAATCTCTTAGAAAATTGAGTAAGGAATTGAGAGAAAATGGGAGATGAAGAGGCGGTGGAAATGGGTGAAATGAATGGGTTTTGAGAACTCAACCCTTCTTAGCTCATATAATATACACTCTTTCCCATTTTGCCCTTACTCTTTCTTGAAAATTCCACTTTATCCTTTAATTCTTTACAAACTCGCCCCCATTTTACACTATTCTCCATGAAATTTCTTTACATTTTACTCCCCACTTTTCCTGCTAATTAGGGGTAGAATGGGCATTTTACCCCTATGAAGAATTCTCTAGAAAACTCAAGAAACTTTTCTGCCTTCCGTCGCCGCGGCGAAGAACTTTCCGTCGCCCCGGCGAAACATTCCAGAACCGACACCGCCCAACACAGAACCAACATCGCCGCGGTGAAACTTCTCCGTCACCCCGGCGACGACTGCAACTCCAAAATCTATCAAGTCTTGATCAGTTCCATGGTACACACTCAACCAAACCCAAAACATCAACTCAACCGAAGGCCAACCAGACAATATGAACAATATATAAACTCATTTAGGGGCAATTCAGTAATCCTTTAGGCCATACCTTAAACAGTGGCTACGTATTTCAAGTGGGGTGTTACATAAAGGCATATCACAAACTTGTTACATAAATAGGAGTATACTTCTTTGACACAAGAAACCATAATTCCCCATATCAATTTAAATCCTTGCCAAAAATAAATAAAAAAAGATCCATAGTAATTTCTAACTCTTATATAGATAGTAGTATCAAGAAACACTAGTTTTAGAACAATTATGAATTGAGAAATTTAATTGCAATGTCTTTAAACTTTTTTTTTTTTTAAAAGAAAAAAGAAAAATACAAAATTAAAAGTGTAATTTTAGATATTATATAGAAATATGGGCTAATAATTTAATTGCTGGGATGCGATATCACTCATTAATAAATTACTCTTATTAACATTCTTAAAAATCAATAAATTTATTCTTATTTAAATTCCTACTCCTACTCTGTCAGTAGAATCAGTTTCCTATTGGTATTTGAAATTAATAAATTTAACTCGTATTCAAATTTCTATTCCTACTCGTAAAAGCATATCACAAACTTATTATATATATATACATACTTCTTTGACATAAGAAACCATAAATCCCTCCCTGTATCAAATTTCTTGAAATTTCCCATTCAATTCCATGGCAAACCTTTTGAAGAAGACGTTAACTCTATTACAGAGCAAATTCAAAAAGAAAGAGGAGAAAGACCATAGGGATGATGAGGAGGAGAAGAGGATTTGGGTGTCACTTTTGGAAGATATAATAGGTGAAATTATCCGCAAATTAAGTTTACGTGATGCTCTTAGTATGAGTATGAATTGCATGTTAGGGAGATCAGCATTGCAAAACAATGTCTAAAACATTGTTATCTTCCCGTGGATGATGTTACCTTATGAAAGGGAAACCGATTGTGTGAGATTCTTTGATTTGCACGGAGGCTTTCTTTATAAATTCAACCTCCCCAAGAAATTAGGAAGAATCAATTGGTTTTTTGGACCTTCCAAAGGTTGGCTTATAATTGCTAATGGGCCTCAATTCAATCCCCGAAGTTTTCTCTTCAATCCAATCTCAGGTATACATATTCAGCTACCTCCTTTCATGACAATTCCATCTTTTCAAACTTACCTAACTTACCAATCTGAATTGAAAGTTTCACGAGATATTGATGACTTTTTTGTTAAATTCGAATTATCATCGACAAATTCTACAAATGTTATAGTTGTAGGAGTCATGTTTCCATATGATAAGTTGGCAATTTGCAGGCCAAAATACAAGAGTTGGACTATCTGGGATTATGATACTTATTTATGAGACATCCTATATTCTAATGGAATATTGCATGCTTTGATCCACACAGAATTACATTTTCTTGAAACACATCCATTGAGGGTAGGGGATGAGGATGTTATTCTCAAAATATTATCAATCCCTTATCCTGATGTCCAACAATATAATGAAATTGAATTTGAATTAGGATTGACATCGGTTTGTGGCAGGTTCGTGTTATATTTAGTGGAGTCCAAACGTGAAAGTTTACTTGTTCAAAAGATGCTTGAACATACAACTACTCAAATAGACTACTATGATCATTATGATACAACGTGTCTATTTACGTATGACTCAACTTGGATTTTATGTGTTGAAGATTAGTTATCCTACTATCGCATCCATCGATACAACTAGGTTAAATAGCTTGGATGATCAAATATTATTTGTGCCACAACACAGTTCATACATTCTAGATAGAAATCTCAACTACTTGGAAAGGAATTGGATTTTCTTTTTGGATGAGAATGGTCATGTTTATGAGCAAGATTATGATCCGGGAGAAAATCTTCTATTTTGTGAACCATATCCTCTCGCGAATCAGGTATTTTTATTTTAAAGATAAAAAAATATTACGCGCTTTCCCAAGTTTCAAGAATTTACCACATTTTCAAATGCATTGGTTTTTACCCAATATATGGTAAAAACAAAGTTGAAGTAATCCATAGTTTTTATTTATTTATTTTTATCATATCTTTACATGTATAAGCTCTAAGTCAATGTTAACTTGTTGCGCTTTATTCATTAATATAATCTCTATTATAAGTAAAACAATTGTTATGTAATATAGAGTTTGTAGTATTTGGGGTGCTAGTTATGCGTGTACTCCATTAATTAATACATGAAATCTTAATTTATTTTGAAATGAATTTGAAGAAAATTGTGTAGAAAAGAGATATATATGAAAGTAAGGATATCCTTGAAGAATATCCATGGCATGTGTTCATCTTAGAAGAATGTTGGAATTAAATAATTAGGTTTTGGCGCCTTGGACTTGGATTTGGTTTGCCTCTTTTGATGAATCATGAATGCTGGTTTACCACGTATCTAAGCTAGCTGCTAGCTTGCCAGATACTTTTTACAAATTAATTAGGTAAAGAACAAATCCACATTCACCACCTCATTCAATCATAACTCAAAAGGTTCATGGAAATTGGCAATGTATATAAATATGCCCACTCCTTTACTTTGATATGAATTACTTACTTTAATTTGGTAAAATAACCAAAGCTTTCGACCCTATCTTATCCTTATCCCTATATATTGACGCAGGCATTCTACATGTTTGAGAAACTAACATCGACAACAATCTCACTATTTTCAATTCTTAAGAAAATTACAGATAATGTGTAACATGGACATGTTTAGAAAACTTAATGTTAATCAATGGTCATCTTTGATAAATCAAAATTTTAAGACAGTGAGATCCATATATATTTGGTATTGCCATGTCTCTGCATATTAGCCTATATGATGATGAATATAAGTATGGAAATGAGCATCATATCAATAAGACAACCAACATATTTCATTGTAACTTAAAGTACACATGGGATATATTTTAGTATACAATTTGAATTTCTTTCATTTGAATCAATGTCTTATCAGAATTGGATATATTTCCCATGCGGCTGAAAGCTCTGTTAACTAGAAATTTGTCACTGAAAGGTTGTCTTCTCTAGCTAGTTAATGAAATAGCTCATTTTGTATGTTTGTTTGTAGTTATTTATTTTTCCCTTTTTTTGTTTTTTTTTTCACAATGAATAACTCTCAAAGTTGGCATATGCCAGATTATTAATTTCAATATGATGAATAAATATGAATTGAAGTGTTAAATCCCATCTATAAAGTAATGCTCCTGACAGAGAGGAAAAATGTACGAAAAAATAAAAGTAATTGTGCAAAAGAGTATGAAACTGTAATCTTAGAGTTGAAATTCAAGTCTATTTCATTTATATACAGAGTATAGCAAGTATATGACATGATTTTTTTTAATTTGTATGCTATCTAGCTAGCGATTGAGAATGTATTGAGAAGAGTGACTTTAATTTTGATCAAACATCTATAAAAGCATTCAAGTCCATCTTCAAAATCTTGAATGCAGAACTCCAGGTTCTTTAGCTGGTTCTGCAAATCTGCAACTTGCTTCATGTTATTAGATTTGCATGTCCTATCACCAATGAGAAACTGCAATGAAGCATCCACCTTCGCAAATTCATTTGCTTATGTTTCATCCTTTATACAAGCCACTCTTTTGTGGTGCATTATAGTTAGGAAAATACTGACCATCCGCTTTTGGACTAAAGATAAAAGAAAATAAAGATTCAAATACATCAAGAGTGATTGCTTCCACCTCCTTTAGAATGCTCTCATTGTCATTGTTAGAGTAAGCATTTCTATTTTTCATGACCTTCAGATCTCCCAAGGCCTTTTGCATTGCCTTTTTTGCTGCCTTCCTTGAGGCCAGGTACTTCCTAGCCTCACTTGTGAATCCATTGTCACTTCCTCATCTTCAGCACATGATGGACGAAAGTTCTTGTGTTGATTCCTTTTTTTGCAACAATGCATCTTTAGCAGTGCTAGCTACACCATACTCGCTCTAATAGTTTTCCTTCCAAACCACACCGAATTACTTTAGAAGTCGATAAGCATTTGAGCAGATTAAGGGCTTCTCAAGCTACTTCTACATCATCATTATCATTAATAAGCCATGGGATAAACGACCTTCAAGATTTGCATGATTGTGTTGATAAGTTACTTTAGTTAGCTTCGATTCAACAAGCTTTAACCCAAGACGAGATGTTGAATAGATCTCTTAGACTCTTAGATATTTGTGGCATTGCTAAGGATTCCTTTGTACAAACCAAAGAAGCTGTACAAGGCCTTCAATCAATTTTTCGTAGAAGAAGATGTTATGATATTGAGCTTACAAGTGAGGTTAAGAAATACTTAACCTCTAGGAAGATAGTAAAAATGACCATCCAAAAGGCCTTGAAGAATTTGAAAGCCATGAAAAACCAAAGAATCTCTCCAATCTGTGAGGAAGATGAGTCAAACGCCACAATTTACATATTAAGAGAGGTTGAAGCAGTCACTTTCAATGTGATCGAATCCTTGTTGTCCCTTATCTCAGGGCCAAAGGTTCCATCAAAGCTAAGCAGTTGGTCAGTAGTTTCCAAGCTAATCCACTCAAAAAAGGTAACAAGTGAAGAAACAGACATTAATGACTTTGAAAGGTTGGATGTTGAATTGTGTACCATCATCACTCATAAGACAAGCAAGTCCGATAACATTCAAAACCAGCTTAAGGAATTAGAGTCAAGCATTCGAGATTTTGAAGATGGACTTGAGTCCTTGAGCAGGCGTCTGATCAAAACTAGAGTCTCTCTTCTCAACATCCTCAACAATGAGATTACAAAGTTTTGATACTCTATACTTGTACATCAATCAAATACACTTGTATATTCCTATTGATACTAAATCAATTAGATAAATTTTTTCTCTGATATCTCAATATCCCTCTTATCTGAGAGCATATACTTTTACAACAAAAATGTTTTGTAGATTATACTTGATTTTCTACTTGCTTGGAGACAAAACTAACATTCTGTCATAAGCAACTCTAGATAGTTCTTCTATTTCAGAAGTAAAACGGAAAACAAAAAAGGCAACTTCGGTGAATATGTTGATGCAGTGATACTTTGCTGGAAATGCATCAACATTGCAAGTTCAGCTGGTTTATTCCTTGGAGTCTATTGAAGAAAGCTTATTGCAGTGGTCCAATGTGCATGGTTGAAGCTTTTAGTGTTTTGTATTAGAATGGCTTAAGTGCAATTAAGTTAGTATTGTGATGTGTATTGTGTATGCAATATTAGTTGTTAAGTTTTTGAATTTAAATCTGTAATGTCTGCTGTGGTTGTTGAATCAGTAGAGAGTTGGTAAGCTAATGTATATATTGAACAACTTCAATGAAAAACATATGGACTTTCGCATACATGCATTAAACTCTCTTTATCTTTCTCTTTGCAGTCCCTGGCTGAGAACCTACAAATGGTATCAAAGCCACTTATAAAAACCAGAAACCTAGTGCCTTAAACCATCGATTACAACTCAAGAATACCTTCAATTCTCAGCAAAATCCAATCTACATCAGTTCTTCTTCTTCTCTGTGACAGATAAAAAAAATTGAAACATGGCAACTCAATCTGCTTTGATGGCACCACCAGTATTCAATGGGGAACACTACCATATTTGGGCTGTTAAAATGAAGGCTTTTCTCTGGGGACAGGGACTGTGGCATACATGGAAGAAAACAGGCAGCCACCTCTATTAGGATAGAAACCCACTTTGAATCAAATGAGATTGCATGAGGAAGAAACAGCCAAAGCACCGAGAGCTCTCTTTCACATTCATGCAGTTGTGACTAACCTTGTATTCACAAGGATCATGGTGTATAAGAGCCCCAAGGGAGCATGGGATAAGCTGCGAGAGGAGTATATAGGCAGCACCACAATAAGGAACATGTAGGTGCTTAATCTAAGGAGAGAATTTGAGATGCAAAGGATGCAGGAATCAGAAAAATTTAAGGATTATGTTGACAAGTTAATAAGTGTTGTCATCAAAATAAGGCTGATGGGAGTGGAGTTGACAGATAGAAGGGTGGTGGAAAAGGTTTTGGTGAGTTTGTTGGAGAGATTTGAGTCCAAAATCTCTTCTCTTGAGGACTCTAAGGACATGGCTTGGATCACATTGACTGAGCTTGTTCATGCTCTCCAAGCTCAAGAGCAAAGAAGGCTCTTGAAGCAAGAAGACACTAGTGAGGGTGCAATGGTTACAAACCATAAAGGCAAACCTGCACAAGGACAAACTAGGAAGTATGTTGGGGATAAAAAAGGGAAAGAGAAGAGTAGCAATCAGTGGGAGAAGTCAGGTGGTTTGAAGGAGTTTCCAGCCTGCACTCACTCTAAAAGGAAAGGACATCCGAAGAGGAGGTGCTGGTTCAGGCTAGGAATACAATGCAAAAGCTGTAAACAATTTGGGCATATTGAGAGGGTCTGTAAGAACAAGGGAAGTCAACCAACACAGCAAGCACATGTTGGAGAAGATAAGCAGCAATGTCAGGAGGCTGAACAACTATTTGTGGCCACCTGTTACGTGGCACAAACTAGCAATGAAGCTTGGCTAATTGATAGTGGCTGCACCAACCATATGGCTGCAGACCTATAAAGTTTCATTAACCTGGACAACTTATATTATTCTAAAGTTAAAATAGGAAATGGTGAGTTCATGGAGATCAAAGGCATAGGAGATGTTGCTGTTCAAACCAGGTCAGGAATCAAGATTATTTCTCATGTATTGTATGTGCCTAGGATTAGCCAAAACTTATTAAGTGTTGGGCAAATGTCAGAGAAGGATTACTCTCTACATTTCCAAAATCAATCATGCAATATATTATATCCTAAAGGGACTGAATTAATGTGTGTAAAAATGCTGGGAAAAAGCTTCTCGGTTGAGTGGAAAAGCACCAACAACTTAGCTTTATCAACTAGGCTGGAAGAGTAAGAAATCTAGCACAAAAGACTTGGCCACTTCCACTACAATGGCCTCAAAGAGTTAAAGAGTAAGAACATGGTCCAAGACTTACCTGAGATTGAAGAGAAGAGTACCCTCTGTAGTGCTTGCCAACTTGGCAAACTAAGTAGGCCCTCATTTCCCTCGGATCAAGCCTGGAGAGCAACAACAAAAGTCCAACTGATCCATACTGATGTTTGTGGCCCTATACAGACGGAATCAATGAGTGGAAGTAGGTATTTTGTACTCTTCATAGATGATTTCACACGAACAACATGGGTATATTTTTTGAAGCAGAAAAATGAGGTTCTTGCAGTGTTCAGAAATTTCAGACTACTGGTGGAGAATTAGGCTGGAACAAAAATCAAATCCATAAGAAGTGATATTGGAACTGAATATACATCAAAGGAATTTAGTTCAATTTGTCAACAAGTTGGAATTAGGCACTAGTTCACTACACCATACACCCCACAACAAAATGAGGTCAGTGAGAGAAGAAATAAGATCATCATAGAGATGGCTAGGTGTATGATGGCTGAGAAACAACTCCCTAAGAAGTTCTAAGCCGAGGCTATAAATACAAGAGTCTATCTCCTAAATAGACTGCCAGCTAAGGCAATCAAAAGGCAAACTCCAGCTGAGGCTTGGAATGGAATTAAACCAACAGTGAGTTACTTGAAAGTGTCTGGGAGTGTGTTATGTCATTGTTCCAGCAGGGAAAAGAACTAAGCTTGATGATAAGGCTGAGATTGGAATATTCATTAGCTACAACAGTCAATCAAAGGGGTATAGAGTATATATCCCTGAGTCAAAGAGAATTGTTATAACAAGGGATGTAAGGGTGGATAAAAATGCAGTATGGAATTGGGAGAGTAAGAGGATTGATGCTGACTGCAAAGTACAATAGCCAGCCAAAAACTCATTTGAAGAAGCTGAAATTGAAGAGAATGAAGATCCATTAGTTCGAGGGACCAGAACCTTGGCTGATGTTTATGCAAGGTGTAATGTGGCAATGCTAGAACCAAGAAACTATGTTGAAGCTGCCGAGTCAGAAGCTTGAAGGAATGCAATGCAGGAGGAAATATCTATGATTGAGAAAAACAACACCTGGAGGCTTGTTGACAAACTTGAAAACAGAAAAATAATTCAGGTAAAGTGGATTTACAAGCTGAAGGTTAATCCTGATGGTACAATCCATAAACACAAGGCTAGACTTTTGGCAAAAGGATATGCACAGTAGTAAGGGGTGGATTACTCTGACACATTTGCTCCGGTGGCTAGACATGACACTATTAGATTGATCCTTGCTATGGCAGCTCAATTTAGTTGGGAAATCTTCCAACTTGATGTCAAATCAGCATTCTTGAATGGTTGCTTGAGTGAGGAAATTTTTGTAGAACAACTTGAAGGTTATCAAGTGAAAGGTGAAGAAGGCAAAGTTTATTTGCTGGAGAATGCCTTGTATGGCCTAAAGTAGGCACCTAGAGCCTGGTATAGCAGCATAAATGATCACCTCAGTAGTCTTGAATATGTGAGAAGTCCTAATGAACATACTCTTTATGTTAAAGAAGTAAAAGGTGACTTGATTGTGGTATCTTTGTATGTGGGCGATTTGCTAATTACAGGAAGCAATCCAGACAAGTTGAGCCAATTTAAAAGGTCCATGCAATCTAAATTTGAGATGACAGATTTAGGGGAGATGACATACTTTCTTGGTATGGAGGTTTTTCAATCCAAGAATGGAATCTTTGTGCGCCAAGAGAGGTATGCAAATGAGGTGCTCATAAAGTTTGGGATGGAAAATTCCAAACCTGCAGATACTCCATTAGTTTCTAATCTAAAACTGAGCAAGAATGATGGTGAGAAAAGAGTGGATGAGGGACTGTTTAGAAGTTTGGTAGGATGCTTGCTGTATTTAACAGCCACATGACCAGACCTTATGTTTGCAGTTAGCTATCTCTCTAGATTCATGAGTTGTCCAAGTGAATTGCATTATAGTGTAGCTAAGAGGATGCTAAGATATGTGAAAGGAACCTTCAGCCTTGGCATTTGGTTCAGGAGGGTTGAGAATCTTGTGTTGCTAGGATATATTGACAATGATTGGGGAGGATCACTTGATGACATGAAAAGTACATCAGGGTATGTATTTTAAATTAATTCTGGTGCAATCAGCAGGCTATCAAGGAAACAAGATATTGTGGCACAGTCCACAGCAGAGGCAGAATATATTTCTGTTGCAACAACTGTGAACCAAGCTGCTTGGCTGAGGAAAGTGCTGACATATTTGAAGCAGAATCAGGAAAGGCCAACTTCAATTTTGTGTGACAACTAGTCATCGGTTCCCATGGCCAAAAATCAAGTTCTCCATGGCATGACCAAGCACATTAAGATAAAGTTTCATGCTGTAAGGGAGGCTGAAAACAATGGAGAAGTTACTTTGATTCACTGCCAAGGTGAGGACCAAACTGCAGATATTATGACTAAAGCATTGCCTAAAGCCAAGTTTGAGGAACTTAGACTCAAACTTGGTGTTTCCAGCAAAGGTATCAAAGAGAAGTGTTGATGCAGTGATACTTGGCTGGAAATGCATCAACATTGCAAGTTTAGTTGGTTTGTTCCTTGGAGTCTGTTGAAGAAAGCTTATTGTAGTGGTCCAACATGCATGGCTGAAGCTTTTAGTGTTTTATATTAGAATGGCTTAAGTATAATTAAGTTAGTATTGTGATGCGTACTGTGTATGCAATATTAGTTGTTAAGTTTTTGAATTTAAATTTGTAATGTTTGTTATGGTTGTTGAATCAGCAGAGAGTTGGTAAGCTAATGTATATATTGAACAACTTCAATGAAAAACAAATGGACTTTCACATACATGCTCTAAACTCTCTTTATCTTTCTTTTTGCATTCTCTGGCTGAGAACCTTTAGAATACGTTCAGTTAATCTTCAAATGCTTCACAAAATTTACCCTATGAAAGCTTTAGTTTTGAAATAGATCAATAATGAGACTCGATCATTAGTTTATGTCAATTTTAAGTATATATTAGAGCTGTCAAAATTCCAATTGTCTCCAAATATTTTGAAAACCATCAATTAATGAAATTCACATGGTAGATTCAATTCTTGCACGTTTGAGGCAACGAAAAATGAGCTGGCTGTCCTGGTGTTATAGTACACTATGCAATATGTAATAACTAATATTTCTAACATCAAGGAAAGCAATTAATCAGCATAGGACCTCAAATTTTTTATTAAATATTTGCAATTATGATGTCAACCACCCTCGTGTGCTGAAAATTATAGTAGTTCTAGTATCAAATTGGTTATGTTTATAGACTTTGTCTCCTGATTACATGAACTGATAAATATAAATAAGTATGCACGAGGACACAATTATCATGTTCTATATAGGAAGGCAAGCCAAACTGGATTGCTATCCTATGTACTGTTGTAAAGGAGACAAGGTTAATGCAATGCACAGCCTCTGAATCAGAAAGAAACAAAAATTATGAATTGTTAGCAACGTGAAGATACTACTGTGATTTTGAAGCTAAAGAAAAAGAGTTGGGTAGCAGGTGCGAGGCATTGCATAAATGTAGCTGATATAATGTTTAGATCCAAATCAACATCACATTCCTAATTAAATAAGAGAAGAGATTCCTATTGTCTCCCTTATCTCATAATATATATTGAGCATATGGCAACAGAAGGAAAGGAAAATTGAACCGAATAATCGATTTCTAGGCCTTCTCATTTCCAAAAGAAGAAAAAATGGCCCCTTTTTACCATACTCGCTCTAACTGTTTCCCTTCTAGAGCACCCCTTCTTACTTTAGAAGTTGATCAGCATTTGAGAAGATTAAGAGCTTCTCAACCTACTTCTACATCATCATCATCATCAATCAGCCATCAAATAAATGGCCTTCAAGATTTGCATGATTGTGTTGATAAGTTGCTATAGCTGTCCCAAGTTCAGCAAAAGGATTTGGTTGATGAGTTATTGAATGGATCTCTAAGTCTCTTGGATATCTGTGGCATTGTTAAGGATTCCTTTTTACAAACCAAAGAGGCTGTACAGGAACTTCAATCAATTTTCCATAGAAAGAGGGGCGATGATGTTGAACTTACAAGTGCGGTTAAGAAATACCTGACCTCTAGGAAGAGAGTGAAAAAGACAATCCAAAAGGCCTTGAAGAATTTGAAAGTCATAAAAAACCAAAGCTCCCCCCAATCAATGAGGAACATGAGACGAAGGCCATAACTAGCATTTTAAAAGAGGTTGAAGCAATCACATTCAATGTGATTGAATCTTTGTTATCCCTTATCTCAGGGCCAAGGAAGCTAAGCAGTTGGTTAGTAGTTTCCAAGCTAATGCGCCCAAAACAGGTAGCATCTGAGGAAACAACCATAAATGGGTTTGAAGAGATGGATGCTAAATTATCTATCCTTATCGGTCACAAGACAAGCAAATGTGAAAACTAGAGTCCTGAAGACGGACGCGAGTCCTTGAGTAGGCATTTGATCAAAACTAGAGTCTCTGTAAACCCCGCATTATTATTCCAATGCCTTAAGGTATGAAATTTACTTTTCAAGTAATTTTCTTTTTTTGAATGGAAGGGTAAAATGGTCAATTTACATGTATTTCGAGATGTGGCCATTATTAAGTGTAAGGGGTGATGTCATTGAAGAGAAATGAGGGTAGAATGGTCATAAATTTGATTGATATGGTTAAATGGCGTAAACGGTAACCAAGGGTATAATGGTCTTTTCATACAAATCCATATGTAATAAAAAAATGGCTAATAGGAATTCGATTTCACATAATTCCCAAGAACTTGAAGCATTGTTTTGTTTGGCTGATTTAGTATTGGACTTTGATGATGAAGAAGAACAAGAGATGAATGATCTTGACCAGAAGCCGATCACGAGATTGGTTTTATCTGGGAACAGCACTAATGATATGATGGTAGACCACGTACAAGTTGAAGAACAGGCACACAACAAGCAAGATGTTGACAAGAAACGGAAGCGACCACTACTCGAGGCCTCAACTGAGGAAGAAAAAATCAAGCCACGGAAAAACGTTAAAGAGATAATTCTTGGTGAAATGCACTTTGATAACGTTAGAAGCAACGATTATCTTAATAACTTGGTGACTGATAGTGGCACTCAGAGGCTATTTCTTGAGGCAATTCTTGGATTCTTCGAGGAAATTGGAGAACATCCATTGAAGAGGGGGAACAGGATAGATTTTCTAATGGACACTCTTGGAGTGGTCGGTTTTCAGATAGAGGACTTCAACAAAGCAATAAGGATGGTGTGGCCCAATGTGAAAGACTTACAAATAAGTGCCATTGAAAAAGCGTTGAGCGATAATACAAGATTTGCATGTACTAAAAAGTGAATTAGAAAGATCGATGCAGTGCAGATACTGTTCGTTGATATGACGGTCTTCTGGTTAGTGTTTGATAATTCTTTTATTGTTTTTTTCAAGATCTTTCTTTACATTAATTCCTACAGTACATATAATAAGTTTCTTTTGGGATTACAGACTTACAGTTCAAGTGTTTGTTGTGCTTTATTTGGAACTCATCACGTTGTGAACTTGCCTGTTGCCTGTTTCTTTCTTTCTTTCATACCAGGAATGTTTTTGTTAGTTTCTTGTTAACTATATTTTTTTAGTTTAGTTAAACTAAATACAAAAATAACCAAATTATTATAAACGTATCCTTCTTCAATTGCAATTCACTTTTCTGCTTGATATATTCTATTATATTTATGAAATTTTCTCACAATGTATTCCACTTGGAAAAAAAAGAGTGGTTTTAGATACATTCATTTAGAAAATTTCTTTTAAATTTGTCCATGTATTAATTGAAATACCATGACTAGGCTTAGCGTTAATGAACGTGTCTCCGAGTTTATATAAGTATAGAGTATGTTATTAGGTCCTAATCAAACTCTTTTAACTTATAAATAAATCCCGTTATTACAAGGAAACGGATCCTTCTCCAATTTCATTCTTCCTTTTCTACTAGAAAACCATTTTTTTTTTCACGTTAGACCCTGAAACTGAACAAATTGAAGTAGTAATCGAAGCCGTCCTCGAATTCTCCAGCTACCGGGTGATGGAAACTGAACATTTCAGGGTTAAAATAATTTTGAAGATCAGAATACTGATCCCATAACCTCAAAGCCATTACGTAAATTAACTACACGAACAAAGACAAAAAAAACTTGAATGAAGTCAAACAAATGAAGAAGACACAAGAAAGAGAGACATTTAGAAAATACTTGAAACTGTAGAAGATAAATTTGCAGATATTGTCTTTTTGTTTGTTGAATGGAAGGAGAACTTAATATCAAGATATATATTTATAAAATTAACTAACGAATTAGAGAAGAAACCGTTTTGGATTATGGCGACTACCTACCTGTTGCTTGCATAATATTTATCCTTACTTAAATTTTTAATTATTACATTTTCCACATTGCATATAATATTTCATAACATCTTTAAATTTTATCATAATAGATTAGCATAATTTAGACATGGAATCATTTCCGTTGATTCAAAATTTCTATATATGAATTATTAGTACACTACTCTATTAACATTATCTGTCCAAATATATATTATATATTAGGAATTTATTTAAAATTTTAATTCATTAATTTATATTTAACTACCAATAAAATAATTACAAAACTAAACCCATAAAATTAGGAAACATATTCATCTTGTTTACAACTTAATCTTGGAGTGGCCACCAAGAAATTAATTATCTAATCTCCTTGTCATTAAATAATTACATATTAATGTCTAAAGTACGGCAATAATCAAACTAAAATTGACAAAAAACAAAAACATTAATATTCCATTTCCTGGAAAAGAAAATTTTACAAGATAATGGTTCGTTTAATACCTACAAATACAATACAAATCAAGGGTTAATTAACTACTATCTAGGTCAATATCTACAACAGGGAAAAAATTATATAAAAATAAAATTAACATGGTCATTAATAATAATCAGCCATTATTTGTTTCCAGCAACTCGTCAATCCTCTAAAAAATGGATGATTTTGATTGAATTTCAGGATCATTTTTCAGGGTTTGAAGAATTTCTCCTGGAACCAAACACTTCTCTTCTGAGTACAATTTTTCTTGAATTATTGGAGATTCAAGAATAGTTTGAAGCTCTTGAGATGGAAGCAATTCTTCTCTTTCCTGCGTGCATAAATATTGAAACATAGATCATAATTTTGTTTTTAGTGTTTTCAAAAATATAGAAAACGTTTTTGGAAAACAACTTTTTTTTTTTTCACCTGCATTAGTGGTTCCATGAGTTGAAGAACTTTGACTTGAGCCTGCAAAAACTTGACATATTTTGAAGCAGCTTGGAACATTTGAGCCGTGTTCATTCTGTGGCCGCCCGGAATCAGCTTTCCGAGCTCTTGAGTCTTCTCCGTAATTCTTTCCTCTTCTCTCTGTCGAGCCCCAGGGCCGATCGCTTGCGTCGACAAGCTCACCCCAGTTGGTTTCTTTGTGACTACTCTCGTGATCAGTACTACTACTCTTCTCAAAACTGAAAACTGCCAGCGGAGGAGTTGGAATCTCTGGCAGGAATTCAGGAAGAGGTGGTGGCGCTGGAGGATTAATCACGTTTGAGACACACCCGGAATAGAATTCAGGCGAAAGTAACCGAATGATGATCAACGTCAACTCATCTCCATATAGCTCTTCTGGCGCTTCGGATAGGTATGAAACACTCAAGTCTTCAAGAGGAAGATGAAATTATCTGAATTATCCGAGAGAGAGAAGAAGAGAAGTATTGATGATCAGAGGTGTTAAAGAATGATTATCATCGTTTAACAAAGATGAAAACTGGTTGTAATTGTGATCAGATAAACTATCCGAAACGTATCGTAATCGAAACCAAACCATTGTTGCTGAAACTGAACAAGTTGAAGTAGTAATCGAAGTCGTCCTCAAATTCTCCAACTGGCGGGTGCTGGAAGCTGAACATTTCCGGGTTGAAATAATGCTGAAGATCAGAATACTGATCCCATAAAACTCAAAGCCATACGTAAATTTACTGCACGAATAGAGACAAAGAAAACTTGAATGAAGTCAAACGAATGAAGAAGACACAAGAAAGAGGAGAGAGAGATATTGTAGAAGATTAATTTGAAGATATTGTCCTTTTGCCTATCGAATTGAATATCAAAATATATATTTATAAAATAACTAACGAATTAGAAAAGAAAGTGGGGGGATGAGTCTTAGGGTTTTCGCGGAGAGAAAAAAGGTGATTAAGAGTAACCACCTGCTGATTAGTAGGTAATCAGGGACACAACCGTTTGGATTATGGCGACTACCTATCTGCTGATTGCTTGTGTTAACCTTCCTTAAAATTAACCACCGTTACTGTTAATTAATATTACTTTTGCTCAATGCTGTTAATTAATTACAATATTGTATTTAAATATGATTAATAACCAAAGGAGTTATTTTTTCAATCGGGATTGAATCCCCTCTTTCCAGTGTCGCTTTCTTCGGCCGCTGCCGGCAGCACTGTAGTCGTCGTCCGACGAGTACCCATCTCATTTCATTTCACTTCGTCTGCTTTCGAATCTAATCTACAAAACCCTTCGTCTTTGGACGATTCGATCGTAATTTACTATACGTTCCTTTCAATTCTTGATCATCTTCGAAATCTTAGTCTCTGCTTGATATTGGCAACCTATGTGACGCTTGTCGGCTCACGAGTTGGTTTAACCAGGTATTCTTTGTTTCAAAAAAATTTGTAATAATGTATGTCGTTAACTGGTGGAATTGCGATGATGTTGAGTATGATTCCATAATGTGATGAATGATGATATTAATTTTTTCTTTCTAGAATCTTTTGAATTATAGCAAACAGAAATGTAATCGAGTCCAAGTTTAAAGAAAACGAGTTAGGATCAATCCAATCGGACATTATTTGGATGGTTTGCCTCTTGAGTGAAAGTTTGTTAATTCAATTATATTAAATAATGCACTGCCTTATTCATAAAGTTCGAACAAGGGTCAATACAGTTTTGATGTGAAAGTTTTGTAATTCAATTTCATTAAAAGTTTTGGGGTGTTTAAAATTTAGCTCACAATAATGTCATCCCTCGTTACAGATGTATCATAGCTTACAGGTTTGTCAACAGAAACAAAAGAAAAAAATAAAATACGTTAATCACAAAAAAACTCTATTTTTAAAATGATATTTTCTTATTCTTGTCAATCTCGTTATTTTAATCCATTGATTTAACAAAGAGTGAATATGTTTATTTATTCATACCTTCTGTTTTTAATTAATAAATGACTAATTAAACTCATTTAATACATATTTCAATCTTTATTAGTACATAGTTTCCCTAATTATTTTTGTAATTTTTCATGGTAAATAATCAATCAGAGTTGTAAATCAAACAGTGATAATTAGCTTAAGTGAAAATAATCTTCATAGAAGCAAACCAAAGAGCACTTTTTTCACTAATCCTTTGACTGCACGTACGTTATGTTGCAGAGGAAAGCAGCAGAATGCAACTGCTTCTTGAAATAGATTTTCCTCTTTAAAGTATAAAAAACACAAAACGAGAGCATTCTCAGAGGGCTTTTATACGACACAATTACTCTTTATATGACACAAAATGAGAGTTCAATAGATTTTTTATTTTTTAAATATAAATTAAAGAGTGAATTTGACTCTCCACATTTGAACATCTCCAATAGTACTCTTTATTTTTAAGAGTATCTTTTTATAAATAAAGAGCATCTTTATTGATTTTTAAATATAAAGAACAAAATTTTTATTCAAATCCAATATACTCTTAAAATTTTATGAAAAAAATATGTTTTTTCAAGAAAAACTTAATAGGAGAGATAAATCAAATAAAATGATATAAACTTGCAATTATTATTTAAATTAGGATAGAGAGTGAATTTGATTATCTAAATATGAAAAGTCAAACTCACTCTTAATTTTATTTAAAGAATAAAGAGTCTATTAGACTCTATTTTTATGGAAAACTCTTTATAATAAAGAGTTTGAATCATATAAGAGTCATTTAGAGCTCTCTAAATGACTCTTATATGATTCAAACTCTTATTATAAAGAGTTTATCTATAAAAATAAGTACAACAGACTCTTTATTCTTTAAATATAAATTAAAGAGTGAGTTGACTCTCCACATCTAGAAAATCAAATTTCACTCTCTATCCTAATTTTAAATAATAAATTACAAGTTCTATACTTTATTTACGATTATCTCTCATTAAGTTATTTCTTGAAAAAAACGTTTCTCTCTCCTAAAATTTAAAGAGTCTATTAGATTTGAATAAAATTGTTCTTTATTTAAAAATTAACAAAGAGATTTTATTTTATGAAAGTACTCTTTATTTTAAAAAGTTTATTGAAGATGCTTAAGTCAAATTTCACTCTCTATCCAAATTTTAAATAATAAATTATAAATTTCTATGCATTTATTTACGATTTATCTTTCCTATTAAGTTTATTTCTTGAAAAAACATATTCTCTTTCCTAAAATTTAAAGAGTCTATTGGGTTTAAATAAATATGTGTCTTTATATTTAAAAATTAATGAAGATGCTCTTATTTATAGAAATATGTTTTTTAAAATAAAAAGCACTATGATATGCTCTAGAAAGCGTTTTAGGGTTGTGTTTTTAGGCAACTAGATTCGATGAAAGTTACATATATTTTACAGTATTTGATAATAAATAAAATAAAAACCCTAAAATTTATAAGTATATAAATTTGTTTTAATTATAATATTATAATTAAATCCGTGGATGATTTATGAATTTGTAGTAAGATTATGGTTGAAGGGATTATTTATACGGCCGATCAAAAATAGGAAAAGGAAAAAAAAGAATTCTTCTGGAATTGAAATTCAAAGTTCAAGATAAATATGGTAAAAAGATATTATTATCCAATTCATAAAAGAATAGACTAATTGGTTTAATTCGTTCCAAATTTATCGATTGAACCCGGTATTAATTCGAAAATATAAAAAATTTGGTTACTATTATGCACTAGATGTTTAATCAATTTGTAAATGAATGGTTTAGCTACATGAATGTCCACTGAGAATGTAAATGTGATTATTACAACAATTTACAAGTGTCGCATGGTCAGAAGTTTATATTACTGTTATGCTGGATATATTGGCAACTCCATAAATAATTGAAACTATTAATTGAAAATTATTAATTTATTAATTCAACATAACCTTCTAACGAGATTTCTTCACCAAGATTTTCATTAGCCAATCCTTGTGTAGCAATTAATGGCAGTACACAAATTAGAAAGAGAAGTTTTGGCCTACATATGAGGTCTGTTGAATTTTGGACCTTTGATCGGGTATGGAGTGTGAAATGCCTAGCTATAATGAGCCTTATTCATTGGAGTTTGATTCTCTAACCAGATCAAATTAAATATAAATACTTTCGTTCATCAGTCAAAACCTTCAATAAATTTACCACTATTTCTCTAAGCTTTCCGTTCAATAGATTTCATGGAGATGAATGCAAAAAGCCTTCGAGCAATGAGAATACAGATATCGTTATCTTGGATGGTATTGTCGATTACATCTTCAGTAAAGGGAGGAGCCCTTACGACCATGAATTAGAAGATTTCATCAACAACAGGCTTGAAATGGACCTTCCCGTGACCCAATATTGGAAAAATCAAAGATTGAAGAAGACTTACGGAGCAGGTGGGAAAGATGGATAATGATTTGGCTCTGGAGGATCCACATAATGTGAAGTTGTTTGATTTGGCGGACATTGTTTGGAGTGCTGATGATTTTTGTGAATCAGAAGATGAAATGGAAGAGAAAGTGAGGATCCTAAGTTGAACAAGAGCTTTCTTTTCTGGGATTATGGATGTGATGATTTGAATGGTTTGTTGCCGATTATGTTCAAGAGCACAGTGGAGGAGGGGCCTGAATCTCTGATGAGATCTTTGATGTTACAGAGTCCAGTTTCCGGGGGACAGACAGTTTGATGGTTTACATAATACAGTTGAGAGGATCATGAGAGAAGGCCCTGCATCAATCTTAAGATCTGTGATGGTGGAAGATGCAATTCTCTAGCAATATTGCCGCCATTACGACCATATAAAGAGGATTTCAACACTGCTTTGTCATCCGATAAGAAAATATACCCAGGGAAAACCTGTGAGTCTTATGTTCTAAGTCAATATTGTAACTTTTAGAAGTTATAGGATGATGCCGCAGGGTTAGATCTGTTCACTCTGAAGGTCTAACTTTGCATATTTGTAAATATGTCTTTTAAGTGACAAGTTTTGGTTGATTCTGAAGAAAAATAATATTATTCAACGGTTGTTTGTGTTTCATTTTCTGTACATTAATTTTCTATGATTTTGTTTTACATTAAGTTTTGCATAGTCCTATGCAAATAAAATTAGGTATGCTAACCAACGTCCTCTTTCAAAGGAAATTGAGTCCGGTGCTTAAGGCTTAAACCTGAAAAGTTAAAAAGTTTTATGTTTAATATTTTTCAATAATTTTTTAATCTTATATTCTACGTTCAATGTCAAAGGTATCCTAGTTAGTCTGGCCCAGTACCCGTAACATACAGTCCAGGAGCAATCCCAGGAGTAATACTAAAGGAAGGCCTAAAATTTCATAACATGAATTGAGATCGGGCAATAATGAGCTATGAAGTAACATGTTTTACAGGAAGAAATAATAAAAAGTTATTCCTAAATTGAACCACAAAGAAACTAAACAAAGTTATATTGGTCATAAAACGAGGCATAATTTCTTAATCTATAATTCAAAAGCAAACCAGAGAGTACCTTTTCACTGCTTCTTGAATGTAGATTTTCCTTAAAGTATATAACACAAAACTTCGAAAGCGTCTTAAGGAATCTGTTTGAGGCGACTGGACTCGATCAAATTACATATAGTGTATAGTCTATGTACAACCCCCAAATTTTCTATATATA